GCTCTTACTTGTTCAAAGAAGAGCACTTGCACCACTACTCGCATTGGTAATCGTTCGTTTTGTACCGCGTGCGCGCAAGCTTCCGCTGATAGTTTTCTACAGTCCATTAGCTTGCAGATTCGCTTCTTTTCGCTCTTGTTGATCTCCGGATGTTCCTAATGAGAGAAATGTTTGAGCAAATCAAAATCTTGATTAGTAACTTGATCAAATCTTGATTAGGGAGTGTCCTGTTCGGATCCGAAACAAAACCGTAACGATTAGTATTCGGTTTCTTTACTTCATAAACCAAAAAATGTGACATTGCTAATAAGATCTCTATATGAAAGTTTGTTTAGATTGAGTACTTTATCTTACCTTGAGAAACATGTCGATTGCGCGATAAACTCCGTCATGAGACTGTCTAGGAAAGCTCGAGACCATCTCCGCGAGTGAGAGGAACTTCTGAAGAGGCAAACTATCGGAATCCCTCGATTTCTCGGCTAAATAACCATCAACAAGCTTCGCAACAGAAGCTTTTGCGGTTAAATCATCATCTTCCGAGCGATTATTCATATCCCGGGATTTCAAGAAAACCTCAACTAAGCTCTGCATCAAATCAACATCATAGAGCATAAAATCACCTAAATTCGCCTCATTTAATCGTTCGCCGACTCTGTACTTTAACCCGGTTTCTTCATCACATCCAAGAAAGATCGAAGCTCGCAATAACTTAGTCAAGAAACTCATAGAAACACTACGTTTCTCATCAGGAATCAGCTCGATGATCGAATCAGTCAAAGCTCTGTACTTAGCAAAGTCAGTGATCTGTACCGATGAGCCGCCTTTGCTGAATCCAGGAATCCTTCTAATCGCGTAAGCTTGCAATGCTTCTCCGATAACATCAGCGGAAACTTTCCCTCTTGCTTCGATCGTAGCGATCGCTCGTTTATATAAATCGATATGAAGATCGCAAAGATCCTCAACCCACCAATCTCTAGGAACAGCCTGAGGTTTCCTCAATCCGTTATCAAGATTCTTCTTCTTGCTATAAGTATAAGACCATTCGACTTTCGAAGTATCGATGCAAGCTCTAGACGCGACCGAGTCAAGACAACGACCCGTCAGCTTCAACTCTTCAGAGTAAGGAGACAGA